TTTTGGACAGTTTACAGCTAAGTGTATTCATCTGTATGTTGACAGGAAGGTAAACTTTCGTTAAACAAAATACACAGCACATGTAGCAGTTTTGTACTTCAAACATAAAACAGTTGTTTTCAACTTTCTCTCATCACCTTGCTGACTGTTACTTTTTCTTGTTGGAGTCTTTTGAACTTGAGTCTTGGCTTAAACCAGCTACAGTGAACGGTTTTCCCTCTTGGCTGGCTCTGCTGCTCATCTCCTGCTCAATGTTCATCCTGAGTTCCTTCTCCAAACCCTGAAAAAAAAGAAAGCAATCTCTTGGGTAGGGTGATGTACGTAATACCGGTACCTGCAGAATTTCTTAGTCTGTACCTGACCATCTGGTGTACCTGAACATCTGCTGTACTTGAACATCTGGTGTACCTGAACATCTGGTGTACCTGAATCTGTTGCTCTTCAGCACTTGGCAGACATTATTACTACACATAACACAGTAGTACAGGGAAACACTGCACATCTCTATCCCACCAGTTTTCAAACATGCCTCCAATCTTGCCGGTGGGCGGTGGCAGCTGGCTATATTACACCAAATGACTTGTATGTTACACCTAGACTTTGTACATCTAACTCTAAACATTGTTTAAAGCTATCTACTGATATATAGCTGATGATGCCCCTACTGAACATCAACATTTCTTTATATCATGATCATGTCTCATATTTGCATGGAACTTACCTTTTGAAGCTTAACTGCTTGAACAATCTTGTTCTTTTTTGGTGCAATCTGTCGTGCTGGTAAAACAGATAAGGAAAAGATTTAGTACTTGGTTCCGCAGATCCTGCATTTTCGAGCCCTGAATATCAATCATTTTCGACTGCGAAGGACTACTAAGAATCAGTTCGCCCCCCTCCCCATAAGTTTCACAGCTATGTCGCCCTCGGGCCTTTTAAACTCTAGCTATGGGCCTATGTATTTAGTCAATCATTTTCCATTCACTTACTTCCTTTCTTGAGGCCTAAAGGCTTCTTCGGGCGCTGTTTCTGCTTCTTAGCGCCGGCTGGAAGTTTGGTCTTCACTTTCAACTTTCCCTGCGCCATGCTGCTGAGATGAATCACAAAATATGGATGAGTCCACCTTCGAAGAGGTAAGAACCGTACATATTTCCATATCATCCATCCCATCTATGCCTATATGACGGATGTACTGTATTCCACGGGCCTAGTACAAAATGTATATTCTTACCTTTTGATTTTGTGTAATGTCACGTTATTTTTAATACAGCAATCCCATTTATAAAAATACAGCAATCCCATTTTATAACATAATACTTTTCTGCCCTCACCGTTTGAGTCAGTGGTAGAGTCCAATGACCCATCATGGCGTCGATAGAAGAAAGCAGAGAGCCGGATGCGTCGGTAGAAAACATCGCCCCAGTCCCTAAAGTAGCGCTTACGTGGCGAGACAGACTAAGGAGTATATTAACATGGTACGTAAGGTACTTTTGGTGATATTATTGAAACCACAGATGTTTCAATGACTGCTAATTTTAGAGGACAGCGCCGTGTGTATGTGCGTGCACGTGCCATGCCTTCGCCACTGCACTGGCCAGGCACCTTGTATGTGTTGCTAAAAATGCTACAAATGTATATTGGTCACGAAGGCAACATTACAATAGCAGTTACCCCAGGTAACTTCATGACTCGCTAGCTCATATGGCCATGTAAATATTTATTCAACCAATATTTTGCATAATTTATGACGGTTCAACTTCAAGCCCATCTATACATATAACCATGGAGGTAGAAAAAGTACCTCCATGATATAACGTTATGTATATCTGTCAACAACAGATCTGTCTATATCTATCGTACATCCACGATGCTATGAAATAAAGAATGTTTCATTACAGAATATGAGAAATAGAGGATGAACAGTGGCATGGGTTCAAATAGTGTGACCTCATCTTGTGAAAGCTGCAATAAAAATTTATTAACACCTCAATGCCCTCATTGCAATTCCAGGAAGGTCCTCAAGATGGTGCTGTTGGGCCAGACCCTGTCCTTGTTGATCTGTGGGACATCTGTCACCAGTACCCTGCTGGAGGCTAAGTACAAAGTCAGCACACCAACAGCACAGAGCTTCCTCAACTACATCCTACTGGCTCTGGTCTTCAGCATTCCACTAGGTCAGGAACATTCATTAGCTTTCTGCCACAACGGACTGAAGAATTGTTTATATGAAAGTTCATCTGTGTTGGTAGTAATCATAGTAAAACATTAAACTTTATTCCAACACACAATTTACAGAGATCAAATTTTCAGCGACCACTGTCGCCTTCATCAGGATAATTAATGACCAGTCACTTCACAACGTGATCTCGCGAGAGTTACGGTTTACAAACACGTGACCTTATTCACACGTGTTTGTGAACTGTAACTCTCGCGAGATCACGTTGTGAAGTGATTGGTCATTGATTATTCTGATGAAGGCGACAGTGGTCGCTGAAAATTTGATCTCTGTAAATTGTGTGTTGGATTCTTGGAATAAAGTTTATTGTTTTACTATGAGTACTGAAGAATTGTTTTTTGTATGAATATATGTACAAATTGTATGTTTGTTTGTTAGTGTGTGTGCTTGCAAATCCTAATGTATTGCAGGATGTACATCCTCACTGCAATATTTTCCTTGCCAGACCCATATATCAACTGTCCACCCCAGTTTATGGCTCTCCTACAAGTCCTAGCTCTTTGTAATTCATGCCATTAGGGGCCATGAATTCGAAGATTGAGGTATAAAATTTGTGGTGTCACCCATGGATCAAACCATAACTGAAAAAGGTCACCTTTTTGCTCTACATAAGTATTTTTCTTACAAGTGATTGCTTGTGTTGCAGTGCGTAGAAGTGGGGATGACAACATTAAGGTTGTAATGAAGCAACGCTGGTGGAAATACGTCATCGTTGCCCTTATTGACGTTGAGGCAAATTACCTTGTGGTGAAAGCCTACCAGTACACCACTCTCACCAGTATCCAGGTAATATGTGTTTGTATGATTGTTGCCTGGCAACTATCTCCCATGCATGTCTTTGTAATGAATTTACCATGTGCCATAAAAGCAAGCTAAATCTATATATGTTCCTATTCATGGTGTTGCATAATCATGACATACTATTACATCATAATACATGTAATATAATAATAAAAAAAATGTATGTATACCAGCTCTATCAGTTTGATTTTGCTTCATGAATAGCAGTGTGGAACATCAAAGATGAAGACAATGTGTAGAGATTGGGGAGATTTTGAACTTCATGTTTTTAATCCACTGCAACAATACAGTTAAATTACCTTGCAACAATAACAATAGAGTTAAATAGAGTTAAATTAAACAATACAGTTAAATTAAACAATACAGTTAAATTACACTGCAGCAATACAGTTAAATGTATGAGATTGAAATGAACATAACATTCCTACAATTAAACATCATGTATAACCCGTGTGATTGTTGCCCCAGCTCCTGGACTGTGTGACCATCCCCGTGGTGCTGGTCCTGTCCTGGATATTCCTCCACTCCAGGTTTAAGTGGGTTCACTACGGCGGCATCGCTGTGTGTCTGCTGGGGGTGGGCAGCCTGGTGGGGGCTGATCTTCTCAGCGGGAGGGACCATGTTGGAGGTAGGGTACCAGTTTTCATACATGATACATTAGCGGCCATCAGCAGAGTCTAAGCCAGCACATACATCTCGCCAGCTCTCTATGTTATCACTTTTCCTTGATATTCTAACTATTCCAGTGTCTCTTGTTTAAAGTATCAGTAAAAGTTAGGTTACTAGTTTTACTGTACATCCCAACTGTTTGTGGTGGTTTTACACCTGGTGTGTTACACCTAAGGGCTGTTATACCAGCTATACTGATACAGATACCATAAGACTATCATTAAGAGGGTACATTTAAATTACACTGTACAATGATTATGGGTTTTACCAACACTGGTTTCATTTGAATTTGTATGGATCCTCATATGGCTACAGGGTCCAGATGAATGATTATGATTGAGTCAGTAAGCTATTGGCTTCTAGAAACCAGGTCACCAGTAGAAAATAAACCCATTTTTTCTGCTGCAGGCACTGACAAGCTGTTGGGAGACATGCTGTGCCTGCTTGGCGCGGCGCTTTACGGTGTGTCCAACGTTGCAGAGGAGTACGTCGTACGCCACTTCACCAGGGTGGAGTTTCTAGGCATGCTGGGAATATTTGGAAGTGTTATCTGTGGGCTCCAGCTGTAAGTCACCGAGAAATTATCTCAAAAATCTTTATTTTCATCATTGAAAACAAGATATTTGAGAATGAATTTAAGCTGTAACATTAATAATAGGTGCTGAAGTTTTTGCAAATTAGCATACAGTTTTTGCCAGTCATGATTTCTGTTTTGTGCCTCTTTCTATGACATATTATAGATGTCTTCACTTCTCTTATAGTGCCATCTTGGAGAGACATGAACTGGCAACAATCCAGTGGACATGGCAAGTTGGTAAGTACCTACAGTACAAGCCAAGGAGCTTTCATCTATGATATTAAAATGCCAAATCTTTACATTTTGCACATTTATTTGACTTTGAAGTTTTGTTCACCATGAAATGTGTGAAGCCGATCACTCTTTAGCCTTATGTGGGTAAATCAGTTTATCACAAGTTTACAGTACAGGTGAACCATTTCTTCCAGGCCTCCTGTTTGTTGGCTTTGCCGTCTGCCTTTTTGCCCTCTACACCATCTTCCCAACAGTCATCAAAATGAGCAGTGCCGTGGTGGTGAACCTGTCCATCCTCACAGCGGATCTCTACACACTTTTCCTTGGGCTCTTCCTCTTCCACTATGTGGTAAGGACTGGTGTAGGATATAGTACATTATATTAGGTATAGTTGTCAAATTATGTCTGTAAATTTACATTATAAGAATATTTTAAGGTTGTTTTACATCAATGTACATGTATCATTCACTTTTTAATATCCTTCATTACTGGTGATGTCTGATCCTAATACATTTGTATTAAACTAAAATGCAAGGTCACTCAGTCAAATAACAAAACAACAGAAAAAAGCACATAAAATTCTAATTTTTATTTACTGAAATACTTTGTATGCCTTTCTTTCCTTTTTCTAGTACCATTGGACTATATTTCCTGGCCTTTGTGCTGATTGTAGCAGGCGTAGTTGTCTACTCTACCAAACCGACTTCAGAAGCACCGCCCAGAGACTACCAGGCCATGCCCGGAGACAGCACAAGCCGAGGGGAGGATGATCCGGGCAGCCGCCAGCCTCTGACGGTCAGTGAGAACCTGGAGCAGGACAGACTGGAGGAGGACCAGGAGCAGAGACACAGGGACGCCAACAGGACCCTCGCTCAGGACCTGAGTGGAAGCCCAGTAGATGTCATGGTATAGGGATTGAATAATATAGAAAGTGCCAGCTTTCATTGTGGTCATTGCTCACAAGAAAAAAAAAAAACTTCTCTAAGTGAGTCAGAACTAGTTGCGGAGACCAGGCATTTGTACACTCCTCAAGTTACATTATTTGTTTGGATATGGATGTTTTTTTGAAATAGGTGTTACAGGCTAGTGCTGTCTACCACTAAGTACATAGAAAAATTATGTAACTTTTCTCTTTTCAAGGATTTGTTTGCAGACATGTAAACACATTGTTTCTATCATCTATGGCAAGACTTCATAAAATAGTTTTGGAGGTCTAAGACTCGAAACAGAATTTTAGGACATCTAAACTAGGATTGATCTCTAAAAAGTTTATGTTTATTGGATAAAAGGTACAGTATGATTAAAGTAGCTATAGAAGAAAAGAAGAAAAAACCTGCATGGGCAAATAGTTTTATTTTTCATAGTATGTTCATATACATAATCATGTAAGCAGAGATAGTGTGCAATATCAAAATGTACGTGTCCACTAAACTTTTGCATTGTTTCAGCACCAGCGAGCTGCCATGGGATCAGTATTACTTTAATAGGAACCCTTAACATGCACACATTGGGTTCATTGTGATTGTCGAACAACATTTAAAATGTTACCGACATATTTTTCTTTGAGACTTTTCATCAATGATTCCAGACTAATGTAAAATTTTGTAGTCTAAAGGGGTAATTATCTTTGTATTATCAGAATGAAATGTCTGTAACAAATTATTACATTAACTTGGACAGTATTGACTTTTTTAGGTTTAGTATGGTATGGTGCGGTTTTGTATGGTATGGTATGGTACAGGCATTGTGCTCCTCAGTTTTGTCATAGACAAGTTTACCTCATTACTTAAAGAATAAGGTAGTTGCTTGGAAGGAAGTAAGAAAGATTCTGTTTTCAATACCCTTAATTTGTTGCTCTGAATTTGTTGTGACAAACTATGTTCAAGGGAGTTACAATAATAATATCACACTTCTTATGCCCACCTACAACAATACATGTAACTAGAAATGTAACATTTGCAAAGCAAATGCATAATGTTTACCTTCGCATGTCGTATGCTCTGTTAAGTCTTACTCAAACACATATTGGTGACAGGAGTCTAAATCCCTCCTACTATAAAATTGCAACATTATGTAACCCAACGCCAGTTACCATGGTGAGAGACAGTCTGGTCATTGACCATGCATGTCAGAGGTCAGTGTTTGGAACGGAAGAAGAAGAGGAAACAGAGCAAAAACAATATGTTTTCCTTCGGTAAACATCAATAATATCACACTATTTATGCCCACTTTGAATCTCCAGCTAGAAACTGCGATAACTTGATTATGTGGCAATAAGGATTGGCAAAATTATTTAGCGTCCATATATAAAGGACGATGCTTAAATTGTTTAAAAGCTACTCTCCACGTCCAATATGCTGTACAAGCTGGCGCTCCTCATACCGTCCATAGGTAGGAGACTCCGCGGAATGTTGGGTACAGTTTGCCTTGGCGGATTTTCAGTTTGTTGTCCAGCATGTTCTGTACCCGACTTGGTTTTCTTCTTCCGTCTACAGAGTCGGTAAAGACTGTAACTCGAACATAACGTGACAAAATACGTGGCTACTATGGCTATCAGGAATACCTCTTCGCTATACATTCTGGTTTTGTGAGAGTGCTTGCTAATGTCCGGAGTGACCTTGACGACTGTCATGGCGGCCCCTGCACTGTTACTGGCCACACAGACGAACCAGTCAAAACTGGCAGCTAAGGCTCCTGTAATTTCTAACGTTCCGTCATTCCGTACATGACAAGCCGAAGCCATGTCCGGACTCCAATTGTATAGACCGGAATCGTTCAGAAATCGCCATTCAATGGTAGGTTTCGGAACTCCTTGTGTCTTGCAGATTACGGTGATGTTAAAGTCCGGGTGCGCCAGACAGTCGTGTGGTGTAGCGGTGACGGTGGGCCTCTCTGCACGTATTTGAACAGCCTTCTCTCCCGGAGTTCCACTGTTTACAGTTGCCTCTTTATGCAAGTTGGGATCAGTACTGTACAGGCCTCTTGCATGCGCGGTAGTCGGTTGGGTGGTTCTAACTCCCGGCATCAGCGCTCCGTTTGACACATGCTGTATGACCAACAGTACAGAAAACAAGTCCCGCACAATTACAGCAGCCTTTCCCATGATGGCGACCGTTCTCGTGAAGTGTCCACCGACCCTTTCTGGCCCACTCTACCGTCTGCTGAGAAAACAAAGTGTAGAGTCAGCCTTACATGTACATACTCGATGCTTCTGACGACCGCCGTCCAAAATAAACATTGCGCCCTCTTCTAGAATGTCGTAAATCCTTCACATTCAGGTCAATAGGTGATTGGAACTGTAGTACTACGCCCCTTATCGGTAGTTAATTTATTGAGAAAAAAAACTAATTTGTATTCGGCAAAAGTACAGCCCTTGTGCTCCGAAGGACTGTATAATAATCAGATTAAACCAGTCCGTGCAACTTCTCCAGGTACCACATTACACCTGTAACACCCGAACAAAAGCTAGTTAATTAACAAAACCAGTAACTTGGTTGTCCCATACAACTAAACTTTTATGACAAGAAAATGGCTTCAAAGCGCCGATACCTACCAACAACACCTTAGGCCTACGGGCATACGCCGCTAGTGCTTATACTAATATTCTCACGGGTATTATCATATGCAGAATGTAGTTCAGGAGACGTAATAACTAAACAGCAACCCATGGAAAAGTTGCCGCAAAGACAAAGCCATATCTTCTAAGAGGGTGAATTGTTTGGCTGCTACCGTATACATTCTCATGTCTCTGTGACTTGTCAAATGTAGTGCCCGTGTTATATATACATTTAGTCGACGTCTGGATTGTTTTGGTTGCAAAGGAATGTCTTTGTACTTCCTATTTGTAATTTTTTCACGTCCTGTTATAAAAGAGACCGTGGTAAATGGTAGCGCGGCACAGAGTTATTGAGTCAAATGTACCTACATGTACTTACCTACATATCCAGCAGTATGAATCGAGAAAGGGAAATGTCAGCACAACCGGGAACTAAGACCAAAATGAGAAACTCTTACTACTAGTCCTCGACCCTTCTCGAATTACCAGGTGGATCAGGCTTGCAGCCGTAGTTCAATCCTACTTCCGTAAATCAACACAGTGGCCTTTGACACGAAAAAGGTAACGGAAGTAGGCCCCACACCAGAGGAACTAAACTACAATGTTGTTTTCTCGTTATGATATTAAACTGAACTGATTTGAACCACTCACCCTCTGATCTCAGCTCGAGGTTCGCTGGAATATATGCATCACTGATCATGCGGACTTCCCGGAGGGGTCAATTAGACTATTGCTCACTGTGCATGTAAGCTGCGCCCTGTCCTTGTGGGGCGGGTCTTCGGTTCACGCCAGGTGAACAGGTTTACTGCGATGTGCATTACTGAGCATGACACTTAGACTATTGTTCACTGCACAGGACTTTTAATGATTAGCTCTACGAATTCTCTTTATGAATTATGGTGCACACGTATTCATTCACGCCAAGTGAACGAGTAATCTTGTTTCCTGTCTCGGTGAGATGATTATTCCAGATCCCCTTGCAAATTGCAAAGGTTTTGCAAGAATTACGAAAGGATGCCCGCAGGCGTCGACACATTAAAATACCATGATAACAAGTTCTGTTGGGCAAGGGAGTCCTTAATTGACCTTCTGTATTGGCGGCCAATGGTTACATGAGTCCAATATGATAGACTCCCCCTACCCCACAGAATCTGTTTGGAGATTATTTTTATTATTATTTTATTAAAGAGGAGTGGTCTTCTTATTTCATACCAAGCTTTAAAAAACCAAAGAGCATTGGACGTCACAGTGGGCGAATGTTTACAAAGAATCACAATGCACGGTTTGATAAGCAGCAGACGCTTTATTCTGTAATCCAAATTCCAAAGTTTACTATTCGTAATCCACAAAACTTCCTGCAGCTACAACATCCTCTTGAAACAGTTTAAACGACATGTGCTTACATATATTTTTTTTCTGTTGCACAAAATCACGCAGCACTAAACACTTGAGTTTTATTTCAGAGATTCACTCTTCACGTTTACAAATGTGTACGTATGTTATGCGATGCCACTTGTTGTGGTCTATCGGATGAACTTGTACATGGGGTTGTAGGGCCGGCAGACGCAGTCCCCGCCGGGCGGACAGGGGGCGCCCTCCATCCGGGTGAAGCAGCCCATGTACCCGCAGCACTTGTCGTGGTCCTTGATGGGGTGGCACTTCTCTCCCTGCAGCTTCTTTCCCTTGCACCCCTGTAAAGGAAAAGTGACAGTCATGAGAGACTTAGGGGAGTTGAGTTTGCAGGAAGACGAAGTAAAGGAAGAGGAAGAAAGAGGTAAAGAAAACAAGACTGCAATATTCAATTTGAGAATAGGGGATTATGACTTAGTTGAAAAATGCATGAGGTTTGGGGAACATGTGTAGCTTCATGTTTCAATATTGTTCATTAAACAATACCAAAGAGCAAACATAAGAATGACAACTATAGCGTCCCTGACACATCATTGTATCAAACGTAACAGTAACATTAAATAACGTCAAAGAAAAATACTATGCAAATACTATGGCATTACATTTGTATCACTTTCTGTGACGTATATATCAATCAGGCAGTGTCCATTTTCGTCTTCTTGACGTAATGTAATTATATATTCACGTACTTGTGTTTCAGAAGATGGAAATAATTTTATAAACAAACAAATGAGTGCCACGGGTAAACAAAAAGGAGCCTCGATGCCAGAAGCAGTTAGAAGCTCATACAATATACTGTATCAACCAAACATTTGATTGAAATAAATACAATGTGTCACGAAACTAAGGCCGCAGAAAAAAATCATCGACGGAATAATGGCTTGTGCACCCTTCGCTATGATCTACTCACGAACGCACTCCTCCAAAACTCCGATACGTCCTCCCGGGCTACAAAACTATCTGAAACGTAACTATGACGTCTAGATTTTGTATGTAGAGTGTCTGAAGAGGAACTGACAGGCATTGCCATGCGCTTCAGCATGCTGGCCAGGTCTTCACTGTCCATGTCGCCGAAGTCTTGAGCTGAAGTCACCACGACGAAGACGACGAGCACGCCGAAGACAGACCAAAGTCGAATGTTGCCCATAGTTTTTTCCTCAGGAGATACTGAAACATTATATAGATAGTTTTCAAGACTAGGAATGTCAGAAGCCTCCGTAGCAGGCTTATAGAACTGGGGGTTCGGTGGTCTCCGGCTGTTTTCTGATTAGCCCAGTTCTAACGGGGGTCGGCTATGTTGTCTATATGCCAATCAGAAAATAGCACATAAAAGACCCCGAAGACCCCCAAACCCCCAGTTTTTGGCATGATATGGAGGCAAGAATGTCAGCACAAAATATACATGACATGACGTGTTTGCATATTGTTATATCTATATTAGGTTCGTGACTCATTTTACTGTGTCCGCATCCCAGGATGTTACGAAAGGCACTTAACACTGATTTTTTCATTCTATTCAGGAGATAATCAGTATCTAGCTTCGTTTATAGACGCCCACGCCACACCGTGTTTGAGGAGAGCAATGCCCCAAACACATTTAAGATACCACAACAATTTTAATGCACTTTGTTTCGTTCATTTTGAATATGAACACTGACATCAACTGTCCACCTCCAACACAGCGTACCCGTTTAAGTAGTCCACGCACTCAATTTATTTAAGTTGCATTGCCTCATATGGTCGATGAGTGAATAATAATTTTACATCGTGATGACAGTTTTTTTTACTCAAGTCGTAGTTTAAAAACGTTAACTTAACGTTAACGTTAGTTTGCTTACACTTGACAGTTCCGACCAATGCTACATAGTATGTTTAAGTCCAAAATTGTCTGGTATCATTTAGTGAAACATTCTACTACGGACTGGAATGTTAATGACTCTTTCTACAACGATCCGTTTCTAATTGCTAAACCATCTTTAGAATGCGGTAGGAAGTTGACATTTTTAAGTATAGAAACTGGCGAAGTTTGAAAGTGTTAGCAAATCCTCCCCCAGTGACCATCACGCCAAGGGAATATTTTGCTGCGTAAAGCAATAATCCCCAGTAAAACGTGTAGTACGGAGATACAGTTGTATGTGGTTTATAGTGGAACATCCGAGTTTTACAGATAAAGTGCAAAGCGCCGAATTGTGCCTTTATCGTATAATGTTCCTGTTTACCTTTTATCTAAACAGCCAAATCCCTTCAGGCTTGTCTGAATATTTGCAGATATCTACAAAAATGTCATGCCAATGTCTGAACTTTATATTATACTCGGGAGATGTCTTTAAACGCCCTTGAAAGGTTACGTCATTGTATCGATTTCTTTTAGAATTGTGTCACTGGAAATTCACAAAGACGCGATAAAAAGTGCACTTAAGAGAAGTACTCAATTACACACTTTTTCTACATAGCGTACAATTAGATTCAAGCAGTCTGGGCTCTTTCAAGCGATGTCTTCAATTTGTACCGTACTTGCCCTGACAAAATGAGACAAAATGGGACCCTTGGTGTCCATTGGTATTTGGGATATGACTTGTAAGTCAAAGATGAGCAGATCCTGACGAATTTCAATGACAGGTATACGATATCTACGCCAAACTCAGTGAATTAAGTATACAGATGATAGTCTAATGATATATTTTCGATAAAGAAAGAATGGTTAAGGAATAAACAAGGAAACCAAGAAGGCATCTTGGAAAATGGCGCAGGGGTTTCAAGCATTCGCTAGTTAAAAGCCAGCAACTGATTTCATGGCCGTGAATGTTCTAATTGAGAAATTAACAGATGTATTAGGCCATAGTTACACAGGATGCAATGCAGGAACTACATCTAACCCCGGGGGCTAGGAAAATCGCATGCGATGGGAACCTAAACATGAATAGAAAGAAACTGTGATCAATGGATGGTAATCTGCCGTGGGACTGTGATAGCATATCTCAATTTTGCACACCCTCCATTTCCCATGGTGATCTTCATCTTTGGTATTCGGAAGACTGCGGAGCTAAGCATTGCGATCAGATATATGTTACTGAATCAGTTTTGAATTCTGTGGCTTTTTATTGATCCTTCAACCACTGACTATCTAATACATTGCATCTGCCGAAAAAAAATGTAAGGAAGGAAATGTAAACTGCAATAAAACAAAACTTTTTGAATAAAAAAAATACCCTGTAGTTTGTGTATACATTTTCCTTTGGTCCTTTACCCATATCAACATCCCAAGATATTACAGTCACTCATCCAAAAGATGAAGAAGAGAGAATTTGTAGATTTCGTGTATAACATTGGATCACTTATCAGCTTCCTGTTGGGCCATTAAGTGAGGAGGTAATGGTCCGTGTTCGGCTGAAATGGACCTTGACGTTCCTTGGACAGACATTGGGCGGAAATACCACAATATCCGTCTAAGAAATTAGGCGGAAATATCACCATTTCCACCTCTCGATAGAGGACATTTCACTCCCGCCATCACCGCAAAGGAGGACTCTGTGTGATTTCAATGAACTTTTCGTCGACACTCAGCCCCAACCCTAATCTCATAATAGGGTAGAATGCTTTCCAAGTAATGTTCGTTTACCCTCGTTCAGTGCAGAGAATTCCCTGACACATTAGCAATACTCTAGGATAAAAACTTATTACCAGGAAGAATCTTTTGACCCGTGAACAAAAGTGAATCGAATGTTAGAATGGGCGGGCATGGAAAAACTAAGGTAAGATTTAAAGGTTCTAAAATCTACATACTTTTGTCGAAAAATCTCTTCACGATCAAATTTTTGTCAAGAAAAAGACAAGTGTTCAGAGTCTATTAGAAGCTGGCGAATATCATTACAATGAATGAGGTCTGCATTCTTTAGTTCTTTAGATCGAAAAACTTACCAAAAAAAAACATGAGAAAAATCAAGTATTTATATTACGCAGTATTTTAAGGAAATAAAGATACACAAACCGCGAGTCTACATAGCACGATTTTGCTAACTTTGCGGTTTTCCAGCCGGCTTGATTTGGCATTATTCGCTCTTCTCGTTGGACCCAAAAGATAGCTCCGACGTCTTAACATCATAATTTATTATAAGGCGAAACTGGATTTCAAAAACTGAGATGATTTCTGAATTTTTGCACCCCTCGCCGGATCAGCTAAGATCTTATTTGAGTCTGCTACGCCAGTCAGCTAAAAAAGTAGAATTGTCATAAATCTGGACTCTTCCAAGGATAGACCGAATAATAAAACATCAAGACCCGATATTAAGAGAACCCACCTTCCGTGCTGATTGACAAGAACGCCGGTTGTCGCTTGGCAGAAGTTCTTCTGATGATCTGGTCAGGTCTGCCTCTCGAAACCACTGAAGGACAGTCTCCTCCGAACCCGGTATTTAAAGCCCTTCCTGGCGCAAGTAGTGTTTTCCTTAAGAGCTGACGTCAGGCAATTAAAGCAGCGTGGGACGTCCTTTGCGAACCGTTAAAAACGTTGGGATTCAAAACGTGACGTGGGCGATAGCGTGGGACGTGTTTCCTCCGCATGCGGGTGCACATCCGCAACATTTCCTTTCATCTGTTTTACAATCAAAACACGTTCCCCTGATATCGCAACAAAGAAGTAATCCTAGCGGCAGAACTCTTAATAAGGGATTAACTCAAGAAATTAGAAGACATTCTGTGAATGCGGGATTAGCCGAACTTTCTTTTAGGCCACGCACGGAAGAAATGCTTCATTTGGATTAATACGCGAAGGTGTAAACTATCCTTTGTGTTAGGATTATGCATTTCTTTAATTAGTCATAATAATTATCGTCCCACTGGGTTATGATACGTGACTAGCGAACGGAAGTCCGTCTTTTTAATTTTACAGTATGGCACTAATTAGAAGTTGAAAAAGCCAAGTCCCTAAAGATTTGAGTAAACTTCAAACTTTTTCGCGTTTCGGCAGTTTTGCTTTGTTCTAGTACTTCAAATAACATGGTAATATTGCTTCGTCCGAAAATCGATACGATGTATTATTAGCTTGAAACGCTGCGCGGAGCAAGTACTATTTCTGTTCTTAACTATTAGTTTCGTGTGGCAAGTAATTAAAGAACATTTTCGCCCCAACAGAGAAGAAAAATAACCTGTTCTTTTGTAGGAGTTACACCTGTGACAGATCAGATTTACCAATCACTCATCGTCTTCTTTGAACGTTTCCTTTGGCAGTTGAAAATAGACATCTTTTTTAAGGTATGCTTTGTTTCTTGGCTATATTTATATGTCCTTGGTAAATGAATCGCCTACGCTGACGAAGGGTTGAGTTACTTCAACGCAAAAAATGAGGGGTTTCATAGGGAGTGGATATTTTTATTGCAGCAAAGAAGTATATACATGTTGCACAAAAAAGGATATATTTATACAGTACGAACAAGGACGGTCGCACCAATATCAAAGAGGAAAATAAAAGTGAGATTTCCGAATTCAGTAATGTACGCCCTGAGGTATGTACAATTAAGACATTCTTGTTAAGGCTGCCTTAAAGGTTCCCAGCAAAATGTGTATAAACCATTTCATTTTTTTTGCTATCTTTTTTAAAAATTAAGACCATCTTGGCCTGTCGTCTTCCTGTACTTGTACATTGTAAATCTGTTGCTTCTGTCTTTTTCTTTTCTAAATCTTATATGATGTTAAATCATTTCTGCTATTTCATATTTATTCTCCTCTTTCATGCTAGTACCATCTATAAATAACAAAATTTAAAACATTTCTACCCTCATATACAAACATGTACTTCATGAACATTTTTGCATACACATACCAAATCATATACAGCATTGCTTTTATGTTTCTAAAATCTGCTGTTCTCACATATATATATATATTGTTGACCACTTTATTTAAAACGTTAAGAAGTTCAATTGACTTTTAATTGCACATCTAATGTAGTGGACTGAGACTTATTTTAAGTTTATATGTATGTCTAATCTTGGTTCTGTATGTGGATGGCCTCCAGTCCCTTCTGTGTGAGCACCTCCTCCATCTCTGTGACCTGGGCATCAAAAGACTGAGACCCCATCGACAGCAGTCCTGAAATGGAAAGGAACAGCAATGAATGTATAGCTTTTGAGGTGTCACATAAGCAATCTGTGCTTTTGACCAATACTCAATACATATATGTGAATAAATAAAAGAAAAAAAAACAATGGCACAGAATAAACCATAATGTTTAATCCTGCAATGTAATATTTTTATGCATGTTATAGAGCTGAGTTAAGTTTATGGTCAATCTATTTATTTTTTTCTTCAAAAGGACAGAATCCGAGATGTAAGCAGAAGTCCAGGAAAAGGCTTTCATCTATCTATCATTTAGTCTTGAAACCTAGAACTAATAGTGTGTAAATGCATTTACTTTCACAGTTTTATTTTTTGGTATGAGGAAAAAAGGTTTTGGCAGGGTTTAATGTTTGCGGAAGCAATCTGAGATGTAAGCAGAACTCCAGGAAAAGGCTTTCATCTATCTATCATTTAGTCTTGAAATCTAGAACTAATAGTGTGTAAATGCATTTACTTTCACAGTTTTATTTTTTGGTACGAGGAAAAAAGGTTTTGGCAGGGTTTAATGTTTGCGGTAGAAACAATTTTGTAGTACACTCCAGTCTTGAATTCTTTTCCTATGACCCTATTGCCCCTGTCAGAACTAGAGGTCACTCCAGGCACAAATAGAGTGCAAAACATGTAACAGTGTGTTAATCCCCACTTCACAGCATGCCTGTAGATTATCATGCAGGCCACAGTCTTTCATTCAAAGCCTTTCCTCATTAAATCTCCCCTCACATCACACCACAGTTAATCTTTGCTGCAGGCTTTTCGCAAGCTAAGTAAAGCTTATGATGTGAAGATTAAAATGGAATAAAGTGTGGAATTTTTACTTATTGTGCATAAATCTGAAGTGCCTGACTGTGCACATGATTTACTAAAACTTTGCGTGATGCAAATTTTAAAACTTTGGAAAAGTTACAGCTTTGACCCCCCCCCCATATTGTAGAAGTGGAACATACCAAGCAGGTTATCCAGCTTTGTAAGGTCTGGCCTGGACGAGTCCAATTTGAACTGGAGGGGGTCGAAGTTTTGCTGTTTCAGTTCTCTGACCATTTGTCCCTCAGCATGTTGGCCTCGTAGGAAGGACACAAAGACCATTTTGGCTGGGTACACTTCCTCACTGTACTTCTTAAACAGTGGCGCAAACCTGGAGGTAAAATGACAATCAATCAATCAATCAATCAATCAATCAAGCAAGCAATCAAGCAATCAAGCAAGCAAGCAAGCAAGCAAGTGTGACTGAAGATCCTCTAATGGAAAGACCCACTATATGCACCAGATGAGTCCTTACCTGTACCCCCCTTGGGAGTTAGTGTTCTCCTCCTCATCAGTCACAATGATGAAGGTCTTCACCACTTCCTTACGGTCATAAAACGGCTGCAGGCTGGCTGCAGGGGCCGTACAACCACTGGCTTGGACAGTAGTGGCCACGTCCAGTACCTACAGGTCAAGTAAAAGATAAAGTTTCAATTTTTTTTCTTTTTAGTGTAATTAACATCAACTTTATTAAGTCTACCAGACACCCTAAGACTGCCATAAAAAAAAGAAACTGAATTTAAATAGATCTTCTTATGCAGCTAGCCTGGGTTCCATCTTGGTTAGTTTACGTCCGCTCCTACAGTCGCTACCGACTGTAGGAGCGGACGTAAACTAACCAGGATGGAACCCAGGCTACTTATGCAGCATCTCATTCAGCAATCCCTTACATGTAGGTATGCAAACTTCAGATTCTAGAAGGCCTTGACAACAGTATATTCTAATACTAATACCATGCTGTAGACTTATTGTTGTGGCCTGTCAAACTGTTATTCACAGAGCGGTGACAAACCTGTGGTATTGTCTCGGGCAACACGTCGGGCTCAAAGTTACTGCCGTTGAAGAAGACCAGCTTGGCGGACGTGATGGCGGTCAGCAGGCTAGCGATGATGGTGGACGTCCTGATGGCCACGCCCATGGACGAAGACGCATCACCAATCACAACCACAGGTGGCTCCAGAGGTACACTGTCATAGATATGGTATATATACATAACAATTTTAACGTAAAGCAGACTTCAGATTGAAGACAAAACAATTTTTTGTGCTTGGAATGAAGATTTTATTTAGTGACCAACTGCCATTTGAGTACCTAATGTGTGGATGGCATTCAGCACCAAGGACAGAAACTTCCTGTACATAGAAGCATTGCAACTGTACCATTGTTCAATCAGCACCTGCAGTTTCCAACTGTGACAGCATTTGAAAGTTTAAAACAGGTATAAGCAATGAAACAAATACATGACAAATATTATAATGATAAATCAAATTTTACACACCTGATTTCATGCAGTCTTTTCTCAGCCAGTGGGATCAGGAGGTCAAAGAATGAAGCCTTCTCCCGAGCATCTGTAGAACCACCTCCTCCCTCTTGTTGGTCATTGTTTGTATCTGGGGATGAACAATCATTTTGGGATGACCACTCATTTAGGGATGACCAGTCATTTGGGGATGACCAGTCATTTGGGGATGACCAGACATCTGGGGATGACCAGTCATCTTCTAGATTACAAAGCAACAGTTATGAGCTTATATATCAGGGGACAGTCCTATGCTTCTACACCAAAATTTTCTGATGTTTTCCTACTACGTAGTACTATATCAGATGCTGCAATTGAAAATCAAATCAAAGGTCTGGTTTTGTCAGTGCACATGGTGCCAGTATAAAGGGTTGTTGAAACAATCCATGTAAGTTTATTTACTGTAATTCACTTTATTTTCACTGTAGCAAAATTTCACGGTCTGAGAAAAATGGGGATGTTCACTGTACTATACATTCACGGTGGTGACAGGTGCAGGAAAAAGAAGGTTCATGAATTACCTGTTGACTGTAATGATAAGTTCACGGTACAGAAGTGACAGTGAAAACAGTGAACATAAAAGTACAGTTAACAAATCAGGAATTACAGTATTAATTGGTTTGCCACCTATATAGGGTTGTTATAGTAGTACACAAGCTGTAAATGTTGTAAGTCTGTTGAGAAGGAGAAGGAGAGAAAAAGGAAGTAACTTAGTTAAGAAATAGCCAAGAAGATAGAGACCTTGTAGCTCACCTGCATGTCTGGGGGAATCCTTTCTCATCATCTTTAGTGTCAGCAGACGCTCCATCAGCTTCCCATAGGGAAGGTTGACCTTGGACCCAGAGGTCAGAAGGTCATGGATGACCTTGTCTGTGGCAGGACAGGCCAGGTCCTCATAGTTCCTAAACAAGAACAATATGACAAAGTTAGAAAAAAGTAGTTTAGCATAACGTCTGTTAAATTCAAACAAAGCCAGTGTTATTTCAGCAACTTCTACTACTCAGTAATACAACATTTCACTAAGCCACAAAATTTTTAATATATGTACTATATGTATACACATATATATAGGTCATAAAATTATTTTGATCAGTGCTAACTACAACTAGGTTGTACCTTTGCAATAGCCTCTACCAGGCTTGAGGGCGCGGCTGGAAATATAGTAGAAATTGGCCAAATAGAGAGATATAACACGCCGAGGGAGTTTAGCCATCCAGTT